GGATGACTCTAGGATGCCCTCTGAGCTCCTTGTCATTCTGGGTAGATGAAGGCCCTGGCCAGGCTGCAGGAAGGAAAGCTTTGCCTTAGAGTCCCCTCCTTGAAGTCAAAGCCTGGGTCACATGTCCCCAGAAGGGCAGTCTGAAGACACATCTTTCTTCTCCACCGTATCCCTGTTCCCTTGTCAACCCCTAAGTCCCCCAAGCTTACCCAGGTCCTCAAAGGGTGGTGACTGTGGCTTTTCTCCTAGGCGTACCCACCATTTTTCCACTGGGGTCTCTCCTATGCAAGCTCTTACTCCACCCCATCCTTCCGATGGCTCTCAAGGCACAGTCCCGGCCTCAGTTTCCCTCCAGGGGTCTGGAATTATATTTCATACTCTTTTGCAATATTAGCTTTCGCTATTTGCAAGAGTGGCGCCAGAAAGAATTAATTATTCATGACCTAATACCCAGTGACAATCGCTGACCATTCCGGTGCCTTCCCTGGGTCTCCTCTCCTTATGCACCAGCACAAACAGGTTTTAATTAAGACATAACTGCAGTGTATTCTCCTGCGCATCCTCCTCAGCCAGCAGCTTATTGGGCTCGTGTTTGTGTTCTTAAACACTTTCCCTACATTTTTAAGGGCTGCATAGCTTTCTATGGCAAGGTGCTCACTACAGATTAGAATCACTTTTGTTTTGTGAAGCATCTAGATTGACTCTTGGTCATCATGAAATTGAGAGAGCTACATACTTAGGACGATAAATGGCTCTCTCCTGGTGTTAAATTTAAAGAAAGCAATTGTGGGTTAAAGGATTTGAGCTTTTTGATGCGCTTAATGAATTTTTACCAAGCTGCTTTCTAAAAAGTCTCGACTTAATTACATTTCCACAAGACACGTACATACAAAAGTATTCCTCTCCTCCTCCCCTTCCTCCCCCTCCTCCCTTCCCCTGCCCCTTCTAATCTTGCAAGTGCAGAGATTGATCGTTTTGAGGGATGAGATTGATCGTTTTGAGGGATGAGATAAGGTTGTGTTCTATTTTAAATTTATCTGAGCTCCAGTGGAGCCAAACGTTTACGCTGTGTGTTAATTTGCCATTGGTCTTTATTTGCACATGAACAGATGAAGCTTCTTCATCCCCATTAAGCTGGGGTGTAAAGTTGTTGGTTTGTCAGCGCTCGCTCCGTGAGCGCACATTAACCTCTCCTCGCCACAAATGTTAGGGTGTGCCTTTCAGTCTTGTTGAAGGTGTTTATTGACTAGAACTGCCTCCATACCCGCTTGCTTGACATCTTTTCTTACATGGCTTGATGGCATTTCAAACTCCGCATATCCAAATTGAGATTCATTATTTCCCCCACCCCAGCCTGCTCTTCCCGCTGACTCGCTTATTTCTGTTAATGTCACCACTATTTTCCTACTCATCCAGGCTTGAAATGTGGACGGCATCTCGGATTCCAGCTTCTCCCTCTTTCCTCATGTTCCACCAGTTGCCAGCCCTATAGGTTCTATTTCTGTGCTCCGCTGGCAGGCAGCCCCTCTGACACCCCAGGGGCTCAGATACTCATCATTTCATGACTGGACTTTGAAAACAGTCTCTTAAATTCCTCCATGGACACCCTTTTCTCCTTGCCCCCTCCTCTACTCTGTGCTCACATTTGATTCCACAAGTCGGTGTGCAAACCTGGGGGCCCTGTACACACAGGGCATGACGGCTCTCTATTGGCTGCTGTATTTAATTCCATCCTCTTAGCCCGACCATGACCTTCTCTCAGCCGAATCTTCTGCTATCTCAGCATGTTCTCCCCCATCAAGTTCACCACCTTCCCGCCCCCTATCCTTTCTGCTCCAACCACCCCTTCCTTCCAGAATCCCTTCTTGTCAGCCGTACCTTTCAAAACCCGTTGACAAAGCTCCCTGCTCATGGCATGGCCAGCTCCGCTAGGATTTCTTGACTCCCAGCTGAAGGGAATTCACCTCTTTGTGTTCGAACCTCTTTTGTGGAGTGTGCTTTATTGCAGTTTCTGGTGAGGTTGCAAAAGGTCTAGAAAGCAGAGTCTCTGGGGGGCCCCTCCCCCCCAGGACTATTTCTTCCACACAGTGCCTCGTGGCAGCAGGTGTTCAGCAGTCGTCTCTAGAATTCAAAGCAATTCTCCTGCAGCTCAATGCTTGTGAATTCAAGGCCACTGTGAGAAGAGCACGCCTGTCAGTCAGTCTAGGGGCAGAGTCCAAGTCTACTTTGCAGAAGACTGAGCTGGGCTGATGAGTGGCCTTTGGGACAAAGCATCAGCCATGATCACTCCTTTGTCCTCATGACCTGTGCCTATTTATTCAATGCTCTTCTCTTGTCCTTGGTCAAATCATTCATCCCTTTGCCTCATGCAATGTGTGACATGTGGAAGTTACCTCACAAGTTGACTGTGGAGGATAAAAAGCCAGAGAGTTCTAAGGAAAACAAATCCTTGGACTGAGAGTTGAATGACAGCTGAAGGGTCCTGGGAGCCCCATGACCTTGACACGCAAGTGCCTGCACCAGCTAAGAGTTTTTCTCGCCTTAATGTATTTAAATGGAATCAATACTGGGGTCAACTGTGTGCACAGCTGTCTTCAGCTCTGGAGGTGACTCTGCAGCCTGCACGGGAGTGTGCAATTGACACAGTCTATTTTTAGCCTCCCAGAGACCGTGACCAACATCCCAAGCAGAGGGTGGGTACACCTGCAGCATTATGATGAGGCAGCCCCATTTGCCAGCCAGCCTGGCCTCTCTTCGACCCAAAGGCCTGCGTTGCTAAACTGGGAAGTCTTTGCTGTTTCCTAGAGGCGGCAGTCTGGATGCACCATGAGAACAGGGCATCACCTCTTGCCCCGTGCTGCTCGTTCCTGTCTAGTCTCAGACCCAGGGTGATCTTGGGGCTGTGCCTGAGGTAGGAGGGAGGGATGGCATTTCCATCTGCTCTGTCCCAGGGGTTACCTTTTCCCTTGACTGTAAGTCTGAGTTGACCCAGTTCATGGAGGAGCAAATCAAGACAGGACAAGGATATTTTTATATATATTATCTATAAGATCCAGATGGTAGTAATGATACTAGGAACAATAATGAAGCCCTTATTATATATACACCATGCTGACGTCTAGCGCTAAGGAAACTGACCTTAGTGCCTTGACTATTCTTGCAGAAAGGTTCTCTCTTTCTTTCTGTGTGTGTGTTTGTGCAGTTTATGTACGTATGTGTGCACGTATGTATGTTTGGAGCCCAGAGGTCAACCTTGTGTTATTCCTCAGGAATCATCTACTTTGTTTTTTTGAGGTAGGGTTTCTCACTGGGTGCTGGTGTTCACCCATTAGCCTACACTGTCTGGCCAGAAGGCCCAGGGGTCCACTGTCTCCACCTCCCCAGTGTTAGGATTATGCCTGAATTTTACATGGGTGCTGGGGATTGGACTCTCACTTCCCTAACAGCCCTTCATGCACTGAGCTATCTCAAGAGCTCCGTGGGAGGTTTCATTAGGCCCTGTATTTATTGAGGAGGGAACAGAGATGTAGTGGTGGTATACAAAAATCCCAAGGTCACACAGCCAGGAGTCAGGACAGAATCCTGGAGCCCTGATTCCCAGCTGAAGAAGACCAGCCCTTGGAGAAACCCACTTGGCTATTGGTCTTGGTATTTTTAAAGACGTGTGTCTTTCTTTGAGGCCTTTTCTGTGCCTGGCATTTTGGTGTACCCATTTCAGAGACAGGAAGTCCTCCGGCATTGCGACGCTTCATTTGGGTGACTTCTGACCTCCGCACCCCCCTTCCCTTAGCCTGAGGGATGAAAGCCAAGCAGCTGCGATGGTGACACAGAGCTGGGCTGGAAGGACGGAGACCCAGAGACACAGTAGTCGGCAGAGCTCAGGGAAGAGGTCAGTCAGTACAGGGACTTGTGGTGCTGAAGTTCAAGGCAAAGTGAGAATCAGAACCTAGGGGCAGAACCTGAGACATCAGCCCTGACATAGTACAACAACTGAGACCCATATTTGAGGGTGGCAAGTCTGATTGTAGCTTAGTGTGAGATGGTACGTGAGAGAAGTGCATAGGCTTCGTTTCCTAGGCCCCATCTCCGCCTGTGATATTTGATTTGGTTTAATGAACACTTACTACATGCCCAGTCTTTTTCTAGGCACTTTAAAAAAATACTAATTTGACTAATTTTCAGTGCAATCTTAAGAAGTACAGATATTTTATTTTCATGTTAGAAGTGGGTAACTAAGGCACAGAGTACAGTGGTTAAAAACTTTGCCTGACATTATGTAATTGATGTAGTCGTCATCTCTCCACTACTGTAACAACATACCCAAGGCTGGGTAATTTATAAAGGAAAAAAATTCTTTAGCTTACAGTTCTGAAGGTTCAGGGGCATGGTGTTATTTTCTGCTGAGAAAGAGAAGAGAAGAGAAGAGAAGAGAAGAGAGAGAGAGAGAGAGAGAGAGAGAGAGAGAGAGAGGGGAGAGTCTTGCTCTTCAAAGATCCTCTCTTGAGAACTAATCAAATCCCCATGAGACAATGAGGTTAATTACTTTCACTGGCATGTCCCCAATGACATGGCCACTCTGCCTCTTAAAGACTCCTCTGCCTCCCACCTCACTACAATGCAGAGCCAGCCTTAAATATGTGAGCCCTTCACAGATAAGCCATATCAAAACCAAGGCTGCTCAAGAGCCAGTTCTTTGCTTCCCATTTTCCCACACATCCTTCCCTTTGTTGAGTATTTCCTCCTGGTCCCACTAAAGGAAAATATTGTTTCCCTATTTGACAGATATGGAAACTGAGGCTCAGATCAGTTTAGACCACCTAGTTTGTAAGATCTGGAACTGAGGTCAATTTGGGTCTGGCGCATCAGTAGCTGCTGTCAATCCTATGGTCAAGAAGTCATTGGCAATTAGTGCTGGGCTACAGGAGGAGGAGGGAGGAGGAAGGGGAGAAGATCTGAAATGTTTGGGGCAGGGCTAACTTGAGTCCCTTCTCTCCCTTTAGGTGAGCAGTGCCCCCCCTCAGCCCCCTCAGCCTGTCATCCCAGCCAAGCCTGTGCAATGTGTCCACCACGTGTCCACACAGCCCAGCTGCCCAGGACGGGGCAAGATGTCCAAGCTGCTGAATCCCGAGGAGATGACATCAAGGGATTACTATTTTGACTCCTATGCTCACTTTGGGATCCACGAGGTAACACATTCAGGTTGGGGACCAGTGGGTGGGACAGGTGTTTTCATTTTATTCTTGTTTTCAAAGGTGGCAAAACATGTATGTCCAACTCTCTACCACCTCAAAATGAGCCCCTCTGGTGCCCCTGAACCCTGACCCTCTCTCCATCCTGTGGTTCCCTTTGGGACCGCCATGGCCAAGGTGGGGCCTGGAGCAGGTGAGTAGGTAGAAGTGGATGCTTGTGTATCCCAGCACTTGAGAGCCTGAGGGGAGGTCAGAGGACTGTAGAGAGTTTGAGCCCAGCCTGGGTTGTGTAGTGACTTCCTGGTCAGACCGAATTACAAAGTGAACTGCCGTTCAAAACAAATGAATTGCAACAAATTGGGGGTGGGGCGGCCAGAGGTGCTTTGAGCTTCTGTGGTACCTTCCGGCCCTGCGTCATACCTTAAGTCTTACCACCAGACCCAGACACAGCACTGATGCTGGCCAAGAGCTGAAGTGCTTGCCGCCAATGCACTGAGGTTGTCCTGGCCTCCCGGAGGTCGTGATGCTTATTAATCTGTCCAAGGGCCATCTCCAGGGGAAGAGCTGAGGATGAGATTTATAGACAGCCCTCCTCTGACACTCTGATTCCATCTGTGCAAGTTTCTCGGGTGAATACTCAGTCCCCTTCCCAACAGAGAAGCCTTGTGTCGGTCCCCAGACAGAAGCAAGCCTCGTGGCCCTCGTGGGTGCAGACTGGAGCCCCATGTCACACCTCATTATATAATTCCCTAGCACTGACCCAAACTGCCCCCAAAGCGGTTAACAGTGGTTGTCGCTTGCCAAGTGCTGGGCATGGTTCTAGTCATGTCCTATGAATCACTTTCACTTGATCCTCATGGGAACCCAGTGAGGAAGACATCCCCACCATCCCTAAGCTAAGGGAAGAAAGTCCTGGGAAAGGAGGGAGTGTTTACAGTCTGCGGTTCCCTGGCTGTGAGGCTGTCTTTGCAAACCAGCTCCTGTGGCTCCCTGGCGATGAGATGATGCTGGAGGAAGGTTTGCTTCCATCCAAACTGCCAGGCTGCTGCCAGGGAGGTTTTTAATATCAGCAGTCAGCGGTTTTGGGTTGTGAAATGCTTATTGTGTCCCGAGTGTTGTTCCCAGCATTTTGGATTATTAGCTCATTTGCTTCTCCGCTTAACCTTAGGCTGCTCCTGCTCACAGGTGATCAGGGCCTTACCAATCAGCCCGGGCCTCATCCCAGCCTTTGTTTTGCATAAGACCAGTGAAGACAGCTAGAAATCCAACCTTCCCCTTTGGCACATGGATTTCATTCCTATTTGCCTTGCCATACATCTTCTAAAATGTTTCCTTCCTCCATGCTCCCTGACCCTCACTTAAGGATTGAGTGGACTCAATTGCTTCTGTTGCGTCCTTGGCAGCCTCAGTGGAGGCAGACGGTGAAGGTGAGGAGGCCTCTCAGTTCCTTTTTTTTAAGATCAGGAGCTCTGTCTCACATAGTCTAGGGAAGCTGGAGGTTCTCTGTGCTGCCTTCTGCAAAAATGGTGAGCCCGGGCCTGTGGGGAGGCCTGAGGATCAGCATTCTTTTCCAAGGGCCCTGGTCCTGGAGGGGGTAGATGCCTGCTCAGGAATGTGGGCACTCCCTTGCACCGTCCTTGGTCTGGCTTCCCATCCAGCATTAACTTGTACTAAAGCCGTGCAGACTATGCAGCAGAGGGGACTCATGACAGTATCCATCCTAGAGAAAGGGTACATCCATGTCGCAAGCTCTAGGAGCTTGCAGCTCTGGGTTCCCTTCTGGGCTGACACTTGGCCTCTTAGTTACTATACTATTACAATGTAGAGACACCACGACCAAGGTAACGTTAGAAGAAAGCATTTAATTGGGGCTTGCTTACAGTTTCAGAGGGTGAGTCCAAGATCATCATGGCTGGAAGCGTGACAGCAGGCAGGCAGGCATGGTGCTGGAGCATTAGCTGAGAGTTCGCATCTAATTTGAAAGTTGGAGAGAGAGAGAGAGAGAGAGAGAGAGAGAGAGAGAGAGAGAGAGAGAGAGAGAGAGAAACAATCATAAGCCCGGGCCTGGCATGAGTTTTTGAAATCTCAAACCCCACCCCTAGTGATACATCTCCTCCCACAAGGCCACATTTCCTAAATCTTCCTAAACACTCCACCAACTGGGAATCAAACATTCAAATATATGAGCCTGTAGGGCCATCCTCATTCAAACCACCACACTTGGGAACTATATCCAGGACCCTGAATGGCTTGGCCTGCCTAAAGCTCCTGCACTGGAAACCAGCCCCGAGCACACTGAGAACAGCCTTCCCTGTATCTCCACACTGACCCCAGGAAGCCTCCATCTGAGTTCCTGGGCCAACTCCAGGCCCACAGCGTAGCTTTCCTGGGCTATTTTCAGTCTCTAATTCTTTCAGTACCTGACAACCCCCCACTGTGACCTGAGGATTGCACATTGTCAAGGCTTTGAGTGAGTTCAGGTGTGCGTGCATGTGTGTGTGTGTGTGTGTGTGTGTGTGTGTGTGTGTGTGTGTGTGTGTGTGTGCATTTTGAGACATGGTCTCACTGTGTAGCCAGGTTGGCCTTGAACTTGTGGCAGCCCTCTTGCCTCAGCCCCCCAAGTGCTGGGATTGCAGATTGAGCTGCCATGCCTAGTTTCGCCCAGCTTGTCAATGGGGAGCAGCATCATGACCAACATGTGAGAGGTGGGAGATTGGCCTGACTCTGCTTGGGAGAAAGCTGCCAACTGAATACCAGACCAGGTACCCTCAGTCAGGTGTTGTAACAAAAAACCCAAACTTATATATGTCATAGTGCAGATGAAAGGGTCTACAAGTCACAGACGACACCTCTACCCCACAGCCTTAGCAACTGTCTCATGGGGAAGTGCTTCTGCACATCTATCTTCAGTACCTCCTGTTACTGCTATAGGCCATCTCCAGATCCAGCTAGGGTAACATACAGGTCTTTAAATACAGGTATGACTAGATGGGTGGCCTTTACCCCTGTGATTGGCCTCCATTCTTTTTTTGGTCTCCAGGATCACTGAATATGAAAGGAGGTAGGGACAGGGATGAGCTGAATGGAGGTGCTCTGTGGAGAGAGACGCTTTCTCACCTCTTGTGATTTGGCAGCAGGGATCTGCTCATCCCTGGAAAGTTCACAAGGAAGCTCTTCCTGGACATTCTAGGCAGGACCCTCAGATTTCCAGAGCAGGCCAGCTGGCTGTGCGGTGGTCCCCAGGGCATCAGTAGGACACTGGAACATTGGTGGTCAGAGAGCGTGGCTGAATCACAGTGTGGGTGGATGGACAGAGCATGGTTATTCTGTAAATATAGACAAGATGGACGATAGGAAGAGGGCTAAGCGAGAGGTGGTTTTGGACCTTTATGTTCTTTGCATCCACGGCTTCACTTAGAGAGGACTCAAGGGGGCAGGGCCAGGAGAAAGTGACCATGACCTTCCAGCAGAACCCAGAGTGGCTTCCTGGGGCCTTCAAAGGAGAGGGCAGCCTCAGGTCCCCAAAAGCCAGCCTGAATCTCAACATCTGTCTGCTGGTCAGAGGTAGGTCTGAGACATCAGGCTGGAAGACATCATCCCTGTCTGTGTGGCCTGACAGCTGGCCAGCACTTGTGTACTGAATACCTTCTACAGATTCTGCTAGGTACATTGCTGGAAGACCTGGTTTTCTCACATTAGCCTAGCATTGACACTTTTGTGAAACTTTCTGCATTTTCTTAATCATCACAGCATTACTTCACATTACATCACATTACTTCACAGACGAGGAAGCAGAGGCACCGGACACTTGGTGATGGGCTGGGTCAGAGAACTTAGCAACAGTGGAGATGTGGTGTGGGTGCAGTGGTTGAGGCTTCCACATCTGTGCACAATGGTCATATGCTCTGTATATTGTCTTCTGATTTACTGAGCATGTCTAACATGCCCTTGCCTATTCTGGGGATAGGGCCTTGCATGCTTGTGGCACTGGGATCTAGGAATCTCCTGAAGAGAGAGGCTTTAGCTCATCCTCAAAGTAAAATCCAGATAGGAACTCAGTCCAAGTACCACCTCCCCCCACACACCTTATAACATTGAAGCCGCCAGCCCTGGGGCAGCAGAGGAAGTGGCAGCTGGCCTTCAGAGTGGTTCTTGATTCCTTTCTGCCTTCCATGTCTCAGGAGAATCTTCTCTTTGATCTACTATAACTAGAAACACAAGAGAAAGAATCCTAGGAGATGCTGTACAGCCTGGCCAAGGGAACACATTACCACAGTACCTGTGCACAGAGCTCTGAAAGCATGGATGGGGACCAGCAGGACTAAATAGATGCAGGGACAAATGGCTGGTTGTAGTTTGTAGCTAAACTAAAGTTTTCCTGGTTCTGTTCAGCTCCTGCGACCCTGCGGCTGGCCACTTGGACCCAAGTAAATACACAGAGACTAATATTATTTAAAGCTGGTTGGCCATTAGCTCAAGCCTACCACTAACTAGCTCTTACACTTAAACTCAGCCCATTTCTGTTAATCTAGATGTTGCCACGTATTCTGTGGCTTTACCTGTGTGCCTGTTACATGCTGCTCCCTGGATGGTGGCTGACATCTCCTCACTCAGCCTTCCTCTTCCCACAATTCTCTTCTCTGTTTATCCTGCCTATACTTCCTGTCTGGCTACTGGTCAATCAGCATTTTATTTATATAGAGAGATATACACAGCAGTAGTCTTTTCTCTTTGGTAATGGAGAACACAAATAGATTTAAAAACCAGTGAGGATATAGGTAGTTTGCATTCCACAAACAGTCTGGCCTAATTTGTCACTTATGGAGTATTGCATCCCCAAGCTGCAGAGGTGCAAACTTTTCAAGCAGTGTGGCAAACAATCTTTGAGATAGATCTTGTGGAGGGCTTATTAGCTTTCTGTCGCTATGACAAAATGATAATCAACTTAGAAGAGGAAAGATAGATTTGAGCCCAGATTTAGGGGTTCTATCACAGATTTGTGGTCTAAGAATGTGGGCCCCTGAGGAGGAGGCAGTAATTAATCATGGTGGGGAGTGCATGGTGGGCCAGATGCTGGCCTCAGAGTGGCCTGGAAGTAAAGAACTAGGAAGGGATAGAAGTCCCAAATTGTCCCTTGCAGGGACACCCTTGATGCCCCAAATTCCTTATACTAGGCTCCACCTATTAAAGGTTCCGTGACCTCTGCTAGCACCACAGGCTAGGGACCAACCTTCAACACAGCAGGCTCTGGAGACCCTTAGAATCCAAACATCACTGTCTTCAACAAATCTTAATGAACTGCAAAAGACTGAAACCACACAGTGTGCTCAGTAAAGTGAATTAGAGCCAGGCCTACAGGCTTCCACCTAACATCGTGACTACTCATGAGGCTCAGGCAGGAGGACTGAAAGTCCAAGGCCAGCCTGGGCTACAGTGAGTCCCAGGTCAATTTACTCAAGCTGGTGAGATCTTGCCTCACGAAAGGGACTAGAAAAAGCCAGTGTTAGGGTAGTAATCTAAGCTGTGTGAGACCCTAGAGTCAATCTCAGCACTGGAACAATCAAAATTAAAAGCCTAAAGTAATTTATACAGGAAATCCTCAAATGGTTGGAAATTAAACTATTCTTCTTTATAACCCATGTACCCGAAAAGAAAACATGTGTGAAATTAGACAGCATTCTAGACTACATGACTGTAAGAGACCAACACATCAAAATTTGTGGGATGCAGTTTAAGTAGTATTTACAATAGTTCTCAACCTGTGGGTCATGACTCCTTTGGCGTGGGGGTCACATATCAGCTACCCTGCATATCAGCTGTTTACATTACATTTCATAACAGTAGCACAATTATAGTTATGAAGTAGCAATAAAATAATTTTTATGGTTGGGGGTCACCACAACATGAGGAACTGTATTAAATGGTCACAGCATTAGGAAGGTTGAGAACCACCGATTTAGAAGGAAATCTATAGCTTTAAATGCTTCTATTAGGGACAAAAGGAAAAACACAAACACCAAAACCCAAGAGCAAAGCTAGAGAAATAAGAACACATAAAACTCAAGTCAAAGAAAGGAAATGATACAGATGAGAGCAAGTCAACTAAATAGAAATCAAATGATAGAGAAACCATCAGAGCCCAATGTTTTGAATTTAGTAGTGCACATTAGCTGTATAAAGTAACTGACTTCATCGTGACCGTTTCACAGTGAATATTGTTCATTTTAACCTTATTTACCCCAATCACCTATTTTTGTGCCCCTTGTTCTTCCCAAACCACCCCTTTTCTTCTTTTACATCTTTATAAACAACTGGATCCTGCATATGAAAGAAAATATATATGTCATTCTGAGTCTGGCTTATTGCACTTAGCATGATGACTCTTCCAGTTTCCCTCATGCGGTGTGCTTTCTTATTTGTGCATGAGTATGGCCCATCGTGTAGGTCGGTGCTCAGGAGTGGGTGGCAGGATGCTATGGCAGTTTTACTTGCAGTGTTGAAGGAATCTCCCTGCTGATGACTATAGCGACTGCTTTACATTCCCACCAATGGGTTCTTCACACCCCCACCAGCACTGTTTTGTTTTTTTTTTTTTTTTGACAATAGCAGTTCTGATTGGGGTGAGAGAATCTGAACATAATTTTAATTTGCATTTCCCTGATGACTAAGAATGTTAATGGTTCTTTTTTTTTTTTTGGCCTTGAATTCATTGGACATTTTGTCTTTCTTCTTTGAGAAGTATCTGTTCAGTTCATTTGCCCATTTATTGATTGGATTATTTGTTCTCTTGGTTTTTGTAGCTATTTATATATTCTGAATATTAATTTCATGCCAGATGTATAGCTGGCAAACATTTCCTCTCACTCTACTGCTTCCTTGGCTGGGAGAAACCTTTTAATTTCACACAGTCCCATTTGTCAGTTTTTGTTATCGTTCCTGAGTTACTGAAGCCCTGTTCAGAAAGTCCTTGCCTGTGTCTATATCATTAAGTGTTCCTTTTCCAAGTCTCAGGTCTTGCACATTAAGATCTTTGATCCATTTTAAGTTGGATTTTGTACAGGGTGAGAGATAGAGATCTAGTTACATTTGTCTGCATGGGATTATCCAATTTTCCTAGCACTATTTGTTGAAAAAGCTGTCTTTTCTCCCACATGCACCTTTCCTTGCTTTATGGAGCTTCATGGACTTCTGCTTTCTCTATTCCATTCCTTAGGTCCGTGTGGCTTCTGCACCAGCACCAGGCTGTTTTTGTCACTTTCCTCTGGGTGTAACTTGAGACCAGGCATGCGGTCCCTGCAGCATAGACCTTTTCATTCAAGATTACTTTGCCTTCTAATGTTTTGTGCTGCCATGGGGACCTTAGGTTTGCTTTTCCTGGTTCTTTGAATGTCATTGGAATTTTAATGGAGCTTGTATTTTATTTGCTGGTTACTTTAATGTGGCCATTTTCTCAGCAGTAAACCCATGAGAAAAATTTCATTTTCTGGTATTTTCCTGAGTTTCTTCCCAGTGTTTTATAGTTTTTGTTACAGCTGTCTTTCATTTCTGGTGTCAGGCTCATTCCTACACATTTAAGTTTTTAAAGGCTATTGTGAATGAGATTGTTTTCTGCATTTCATATTTATTATTGGTGTCTAGAAAAGCTACAGATTTCTGCACATTTGTCAGAGTTAAGTTTTTAGTGTTTGTCAGAGATAAGTTTTTAGGAGTCTTTAGTGTCTTTCAATAACGGGATCATGGCTTCTGTAAATGGGAGTCACCTGACTTCTTCCTTCTCGTCTCTGTTCCCTTTTATTTTTTCTCTCTTCTTGCCACTGTAGTTAAGAATGTAAGCATCATTCTGAGTAAGTGTGAAGAAAGTGGTCACTCTTGTCTTATTCTCCAGTTTTAGAGGAAAGGTTTTTCAGTTTCCCCATTCAGCATAATGTGGCTGTAAGTTTGCTGTGTGTAGCTCAAAATTTAGGTTTAAGACTAATTAAATTAATAACACTAACCTAGACTGATTAAGAGGGAGGAAGGGAAAGGAAAAGAGAGAGAGACAGAGAGAGAGACAGAGAGAGAGAGAGAGAGAGAGAGAGAGAGAGAGAGAGAGAGAGAGAACCAGTGAGCACCCTGAAAAGGTGATATCTATCAGGAGTCTAACAGGACGTACAATTAAAACCACACTGTTGTGGATTCCTATGCACTGAAATTGCTACAAGTCAAAACACAAAAGATACTAAATTGCTAAGATGTGAAGGGTGGTGAGCAGACAGAGTTGGTGTAAGCTTAGGGAGGACATCAGTTTGATGATTCCTTCTTGAGTCTCTCGTGCTGTGCTGTTCTGATCTTTCCTTTTGGTTTTAGACAGACTGGAGCAGGTTTGGACACCAACTCCTTTTTTATACCTCTCAGCTATCTTCCAAGTAGACCTTTAAAGCAGGCTAAGTTTGGAATGAGGCATGTGTCCTGCATGTACTACAGTATCCTCATTAAATACCCAGTGATGTCATAGTGGTTCCAGAAGATGTTACTGGGATGACTCAGTTGCCTGTGATGCAGATGTGCTCCAGTGACCCAGATGTGCTCCCAGATGCCCTGAGTCCCCTGACTATAACTTTCTTTTCCTTCCACTGCAGGAAATGTTGAAGGATGAGGTGAGGACCCTCACGTACCGGAACTCCATGTACCATAATAAGCATGTGTTCAAGGACAAAGTGGTGCTGGATGTCGGGAGTGGCACAGGGATCCTCTCCATGTTCGCTGCCAAAGCAGGGGCCAAGAAGGTGTTTGGGGTAAGCATGTCGCCCTCCCTCATGTTAGCTTCTGCAGAGTGGTCCCTGCCTCTTGCTTTCTCTGGATCTTCCTACAACGACCCACCCTGGCCTACCATCTCTTTTTCTATTTTTGTGTTGTTCTGGGGATGGAACCCAGAACACTGAGCCCATTAGGCAACTGCTGTATCACCAAGCCAGCCCCAGTCCATCTCTCTTGCTAGAGGAGCAGAGAAAATCAATCATAGTACAGTTCTAATACCATCACTACTATCACCACCATCATCATCATCATCCACCATCATCATCATCATCGTCCACCATCATCACCATCATCATCATCACCATCATCATCATCATCATCCACCATCACCACCATTATCACCATCATCACCACCATCATCATCATCATCATCATCATCATCCACCATCACCACCATTATCACCATCATCACCACCATCATCATCATCATCCACCATCATCACCATCACTATCATCACCATCATCACCATCACTATCATCATCACCACCACCATCGTCATCATCATCATCCACCATCATCACCATCACCATCATCATCCACCATCACCACCATAACTATCATCACCATCACTGTCGTTACCACCGTTGCTATCAAGAACAGCACCATCACCATCACTGCTAAGAAACTTCCTTGCTTCAGGCTTCCTTCTCTCAAACCTCATCAGCATGGAACCCTGATGTCATGGATCTCAGTGGCCTTGAGGCCATCTGGTGATCCTACGCTGTCCTCCAAGGGCTGTGGCCTAGATTAGTGTCAGGCTGAGCAGGAGAGAGCAGTGTACTGCCTCTGGTTCCTGAGTCATCAGGAACTATAGCTGAGTTGCTTCCGGGGCTCCTGCTTGGTGCCTCTCAGTCAGTGGTAACTTGGCATGGCCTGCCTGTCATCAACGGCTCTGGCCCTGCCAGGTTTAGCCAGCTTCTTTCCCATTAGCTTGCTTCCATTGTTCCTGTTTCAGGCTTCCCCTTGGTCCACAGTCTACTCCACTGGGGAGGGTGAGGTTGTGGGGGACAGCAGAAGCCATGGTCAAGGATAGGAAATGGAGGCAGAAACACAGAAGGAGGTGATATGACGTGAGAAACAGAAGCTGGGGAGACTTGGAGGCAAGCTAGAAGAAAGAAAAGGAAGGAGAAGGTAAAGAAGAACAGAGCAAGCAGTGAGATTAGAAACAGAGGGAAGAGAAGGAAAGGGTGATGGCCTAAAATGAGGAGCTCAAGTCTCCAGCCTGGCCAGTGGGCTCCCCACAGCAGGTGACCTCTGTGCTTGATGTGACTGGACTCAGCTCACCCTCATCCAGCCACCTGAAAGGGACCACAGCCTGCTGCAAAAGGCCGGGGAGGCCCTTGGGATGTGGCCAGCTACCTATCTAGAGCTGCTATGTTCTTCAGTGCTAACCTCAGGAGCCACATGTATTGGGGTGCCAGGGAGGCAAGAAGGAGGAAAAGTCAGGAACAATGCTCATGGGGAATGGAACCTGAAAGCCAAGGGCCTGACGACCAAGGAAGTGTGGGTGCTCCTGGGACAGAGCACAGCCAGTGGCATCTGTGCCTTTGGTTATTACCTTTCCAGTCCCAAAGGTGGACATTGGACCAGGCCATCAGTGACCCTTTGCAATAACTTCTCAAGAGAACTGGCCCTTCCCGAGACCCAGGCCTCAGCCTCAGCCCTCTTTGTCAGAGAGTCAGGTAAAGTGGCAGATAGGTCACGGAAATGCCTTTCTGCTCCAGCACCTTCTGACGACACATCCTAAACTTCTAGACCCTGCAATGGGTCTTGGCCTCCAACCTTTCCCATGAAGCCCTGCTCTAAGCTGATGGTCAATTTATTTCTCAAATACTTGTGCCCTTTCTTAGAGATTTGGGGATCCTGAAAAGACTTTCATACAAAAGCGAAGAGATTCTGTCAAAGGAAGAGTCCAGAGAAGGGCATTGTGAATCAGCTTTAGTTACTATAAGAAAATACCTGAGACAATCAGTTTCAAAAGATGGAAGGTTTTGTTTTGGCTTACAGTTTTAAAGGTTCCATTTCATGGTCACTTGGCTCCTTGGTTTGGGCCTGAGATGAGCCGTCACATTTCTGTGAGAGCATTGTGGTAAAGGAAGGCCTCACTTCCTGGTAGGAAAAGAAAGGAAAGAAGAGGAAGGGTTTATGATCTAAGATCACATTCAAGGGCATGCATCCAATGACCTAACCTCCTCCCACAAAGCTCCACCTCTTAAAGGGTCCACCAGTGCCGGTAGCACCAGCAGGCTGAGGACTGCACCATCACCACAAGGGCCTTTAGAGAACACTTACCAAAATCAGCTCAAGGGTTCAGGGTTAACCTTTGTGTGTGTGCCTTGGTAGAGGGGACTTAAAACAAGTCCCAAGAGCTGTCCTGACTTTTCTGTTCACATATGTACCCACCTGACTGTGGCAGGACTTAGTGATGGGATGTAGAGAGATGCTCAAGGTTAACTCTGGCCCAGCGCTGCCCTCCACCCCTCCTCAGGAGCTTAGTCTGTTCTGCCTTCTCCCATCCCCCTCCTGCAGGATGCTGAGGTCAGTCAGCCACTCTTTAGACTCCAGCACAGAAACAGGGTCTCCACAGCTGAGTTTTGCTCTCTAGGCAAAGTGGTCAATTTAGTAAAATGACATGAGCCGCCCAATGAGAGGGCCAGATCTTGGCTTTCTAGCTACCACACATCTATTGTCTCAGACTGTGCACCTCTCTGAACCTTAACTTTTCCGTTTATTCAATTGGTTCTGGGTGCTGTGTCAGATTACCATTACTACAACAAAATCCCTGAGAATATCCACTCCAAAGATGGAGAGGTTGATTTTGACTCAGTTTCAGAGGTCTGGTACAGGGTTGTTGGCTGTGTTGTTCCAGGCCTGCAAGGAGGCAGCTGATTATTGTAGGTGCATTTGGTAAAGCAAAGCCACTTCCCTTGGGGAGGCTAGAAAGCAAAGAGAGGAAGAAGAGGAGGAGCTGAGGTCTCCATACCCCTCTCCAATGACCTAACTTCCTCTTGCTTGGTCCCTTTGCTTTCCATAGTGCCATGTGCTTGGACTTTCCCCAGCCTTCAACACGCAGGCCTTTGGGGACTTTGAAGGTCCTGAGTTTAGCAGGCAGCTGTGCTTTTTAAATCCCTGTCTCTTTTGTTCTGTGTATTTTCTAGATCGAATGTTCCAGTATTTCTGACTACTCGGAGAAGATCATTAAGGCCAACCACCTGGACAATGGTAAGGCCCACCTCTGAGTCTTTCCTCGCGGTGGGATAGGGGCTTGCGTTTTCTGGTTCTGGTAGCATAGGTGGGCACAGGAGGGGAGAGCACAGGGCGTGCGGTTTGGGGGAGGTACTGCTTGTGCTGAAACAACCACTCACAGAACTGTGGCCCGGGAGTGTGACATTCCCCTATCCTGCTAGTCAAATGAAGTCTGTCCCACCCTAGCCATCGGCCAACCCTGTCTGTGACTGAGGCCTGGTCATCATGCTCTCTGCTGGGCCCAGCTGCAGGCTGTCATGTCTGTAAGGTAGCCACTGATGTTCTTCTTCCTCTGCATTCTCCATACTCTCCTGCATCCTCTTCTGTCACCCAACCGGGGGTATTGGCCAGAATGTCTGCCACAAGCACTGGTATTGATGGAGTGTGCTCATCAAACTGTTCTGGGGAGTGAGGTCTTGCTCAGGCTGGACTCTGATCATGAGGAGAGATGTGTTCCCTTCTCTTCCTGTGATCTGTGGCATTCCCAGCCTCCCTCTCTCAGTGGCCCATCTTCAGTATGCTCAGACCTGCAAGGGTCCCTGACCAGGCCACCTCCTCATAAATTTTCTCCATCATCAGGCCTGACTATAGCTGCCAGGCCCCATGCTTAGCGTCAGGCTACTGAGCACTTGACATTCTAGGTGCATACTTGGTCCTGGGTGGAGGTGGAGTTGGAAGAGCGGCAGGTAGACCAGAAGCCACGTTATGAGGAGTGGGTTGGAACAGAGGCAGGGTTGGCAGGAGCAGTGAGGCTAAGGTAGCTGGGTGCAGTGGCTGGGGCAAGGTCAAGTCCAAAAGGCAAGGCTCCCATCCACAGTTCCAAAGGGTGGGAAGTATGGAGCCTGGAAGGATGGGCATCTCTGAGAGAAGTAGGCTGGGTTCACTGGAAGGCATGGGAGCAGCGTGGAACAGGAGACTGGGTCCCTGGGCACCTCCTGCTGTACCCCAGAACTCTTCTGCTCCCCCATAGGGAGTCAGATGTCCGTCCCCCCCCCCCCCCCCGTCTGAGAGACCAGACACTATGGACCCTCCCACTACGCAATACTTTGCAGTAGGTCAAAGACCTACTTCGGGGCGGCCTCAGCCTGCCACCTGTGCTCTCTGCTGCTTGACCTACTTGCTGCAGACTCCATGGAAGACAGGAGCATAAATCATCCCACAAACTTCTCTGTGTGTCATCATGAGCCTGACTCTGGGGACAGAGCCGGGAATATGACAACGGATGTCCCTGACCTAACTGAATCTACTTCCAGTGGGGAGCAGAATTACAGATACTAAAGCAAGCAGTGACCAGTCAGAGAAAAACTCCCGATGACAATGTTCTGATCATTTGGGTGGTAGGGGAGCTGGGGACCTTCCACTCACATTAGGTGAGACGCCCTCTCAGGCAGCACATTCAAGTTCAAGTTTGAAAAACGTGAGGGAAGCAGGCTGACCAAGTGTCTGTTTCCCATGACTATAATAGAATATCTGAGACTGGAAAATTTATAAAGGAAAGATGTTTAATTTGGCTCACCATTCTGAATGCTTGGAAGTCCCAGACTGGCTGATGTCTCTGGAAAGAGCTTTGTACTGCTTCTGCTCACAGTGGAAATGTGGGAGGGCAAGGAGGCCAAAAACCTGTTCTCAGCATGACTTCCCCTGAGAGTAACAGTAATCCATTTGCTGGTACTCAATTCCCATCGCCCGACATCCTGCTGGGCCCCATCTCCCAACAACACCACACTCAGGAATCAAGAATCCTACACATGAACTCTTGAGGCCACACTCAACCCAAGTACCTAAAGTTCAGAGGAGAACTTTGGGCAGCATTGAACTGGGCATGCTCAGGGCACAAAAAGGCCCATGGCCACAGCACAGAGAGGAGAAGCCTAAAAGAGGGGGCCTGAATGATCGAAGGCCACTCACAGACAAGGTTAGATTTCTTTCTTCAGGCCAGGAGATCATTTAGAGGGGTTTTAAGCAGGGGAGGAACCTTGCCGGTAGTGGGAACATCAGGATGGGTTGCAGATGCAAATAACACCAGTATGCATTCCAGAGGCTCCTGAGAGAGATGTGTGACAGGAAAGATGGCCATGGAGGGGTGGAGAGAAATGAGCTGTGTTGTAGCCTCAGAAGCAGAGCCAGAGGACCTGATGCTGCCGGGCTGGAGAGGAAGTGTAGGGAACCAACTCAAGGTGGCTGTGAGCAGACAGAGGGCTCACAGGGGTGGCTGGAGAAACCAAGAGCTGCCTTTGCCTGTGGAGGGCTTGAGGTGCCCCACTTTGGGTACTCAAGTGGATATATTGAGGAAGACTTTGATTTATGCATCTAGGGCTTCAGGAGGAGTCACTGAGACTTCCATTTGGGATCATCAACATTGTAATGTCACTCCAATCTATTTAGGAGAAAAGAAACAAGACAAAGATAGGACTGAAGGGCCGCTCATCACTTGGACATTATGCAGGGGAGGCTGGGCCAGCAAAGAAGTGGAGGAGCTGCTGCCTGGGAGGCTGGTGAACCCTCAAGAGCAGCCCAGGGAATGCTGAGGTGAGGCAGGATAATGCCAGAGTAACAGCAGCGGGATTTGGCCACTTGGTAGGTATTGGTGTTACCAATGAGTACTCAGTGTAGCAGGGGCCAGAGTCCAGTTAGTGTAGGATTAGAGGAGGCTGTGATGTGGGGACCACAAATGTCTTTTCTTTCAGTAATGGGGAATGGGAAAATGGAGCAGCAGCTACAGAGGCTATAGAGGTCAAGGAAAAGCTGGGAAAATGTATGTGATTCAACAGAAATACAGGAAGAGGTATGTGAGACAGGGATCTCGAAGGACTAGCTACAGATCAAAGGGGAGGGAATGACCTTTATCACGGAGTACAGACAGTTTAGACACAGTAATGGGGGCATCTAGGTGGAGGTGGTTGGTGGCCTGAGGCTTCTAGTTTCTTGGTTCTGTTTGCTTCAAGAATACAGTCTTAGGCAGAGAAAATAGATAGCGATGGGAAGGGAGAGAAGAAAGCCTGGGTGCTCTTTGCAGGGTTTGCTGGGGTAGTAAGGATTGCTGGGAAATGTGCTTCTCTCTTAGAGAGCGGCGGACCCCGCTGTGCAGAGGGCCCAACTCTCATTGTTTTGTGGCTGTTCTCTTTCCACGCTCACTGGCTTGTATATGTGTGGAGCTGGAGGCTGCCTAGCTTTGATGAGAAGACCAGGCAGAGTGAGGGAGGGAGGGTCCAGAGAACGACAGCAAATTGATGATGTCATCTGGTTTTGTCAGCTTTTGTTCCCATAATGAAATATCGAAGACCAACTATCAATGAAGAAAAGAAGTCTGTAGCTCAGTTTACAGGTTAAAATTAAGAACAAGGAAGCAGAGGGGAAGGACGCATGGGGCCAGGCTTGCTCCTCTTATGGCACCCATTTTGCAAGAACTCGGGGCTCCAAGAGAGGTAGCCCATGCTTCCAATGACCTAAGGATGTCCCACTTGGCTCCCCTTAAAGAGCCCACCATCTTACATTAATGCCACCCCGGACACCAAGCCTTTGACACATGGGCATCTGGGGAAACATTGGCCAACTTTCAAGCTGTAGCAGAATCTGGGTAAAGAAGTAAGCAGAGTGAAGGGAGGGAAGGGTGTTGGTGACAGGGGCAAGGCTGGGGCACTGTTTGGGCAGTAGGTGCATGGCCATGAGCAATGCCTTCAGACTGAACAAGGCAAATGTTGCTCAGACATCCTGACCTCTGGCTTGGTCTCTAGCATCTCTTAGCTCCCTCAGAAGGCACAGGAACAAGGCTCTTCTCAAAAGTGCTTGACCTGGACAGAGGGAGGACAGGTGACTTTTCTACATGCTAAGTACGGAAAAGGGAAACCAAGCCAACCCCTCTGTCTAAGGGTGACACAGCCTGGCACTCCGAGGCTCCCCCATCCCTTCTCTATCCCTCTGAAAAAGGAAAGTGATTCTTCCCAGTTAACAGATGTGGAAACTAAGGTGAAGAGTGTGGGGGCTGAGGGGAGAACCCCACCTGAGCTCTTGTTCCTGCACTCCAACATGTGTTTGTGGGTGGACACAGCACTCTGCTAGCACCCACAGTCCCGGAAGTGGGAACACGAGTGAGTGTAGTTGAGGTGGAATCAGATTCACTGTTGGGATGCTGGGCTCCATTCCTTGGCCCCAGGGGCCTTCCACTGGTGCCTAGGCTGCCCCTCTGTAGCCTTCCTTGATGGTAACTCCCAACTTCTGGGGTCTGCCTTTCTCCCTGTGCTTTCCCATTCCTTTTGCTACTGGCTGAATTAATTTCTCTTCTTGCTATTGTCACAATATATTTGGAGCAAGTTAGTTCTGGGGGAGGTACTTTGAAATCCTGTAAACATTCCATTCCCCATTTGTTATATCTGTCTATCTATCTATCTATCTATCTATCTATCTATCTATCTATCTATCTATCTATCATCTATCTATCTATCTATCATCTATCTATCTATCTATCCATCTATCATCTATCTATCTATCTATCTATCTATCTATCTATCTATCTATCATCTATCTATCATCTATCTATCTATCATCTCTAGTTACCATGTGTCTATCGTCTATGTATGTCTATCTCTACCATGTATTTTTCATCTACCATCTATATCTATCTTCTATTATTTCTCTCTATATTTTCTATTCTGTCTATGGCTATCATCTGTTTGTCTGTCCCTACCTATTATCTTGTTATCATTTCTAATTATTCATCTTTTACTTATTAGTTTCAACATTTTTTTACTGTGCACCCATACTGTACTTAGTGGGTTCTACCTGGCTATCACGACTTACTTTGAAACTCCAGCATCCCTGATTGGGTCTCCAAGAGCATCTTAAGCCTGGCTCCTGTGTGCTTTCCCCGTTTTTCTGAATTTCTGATTTCCCAGCTCCAGCCATTTCACGTGCATCTTGCACTTCATCTGCCTCTATTTTCAATCAGCTCTTCCCCCGGTGTCCTTGACTAGATGATA